GGCCATGAATTTTACAATTTTGGTAGAGGACTCATTACTCATTACATTCATGCCAACAGTTTGCCTGCTTGATGTCCAGGAGTAAAGAAGAAGATTTTTAAAGATTGCAATAATTTTAGTGGTTTTGGCCCCACCCCTCAGGCCCCAGGGGGGCGGGGACCATGAAATTCACAATTTTTGTTCCCCTCCATCCATAGATACTGTATACCAAATTTGGTTGAAATTAATTCAGTGGTTTCAGAGAAGAAGCTGAAAATGTTCAAATGTTAACACACGACACACGACGCACGACGCACGACACACGACGCACGACGACGGACGAAAACGGATAGCAATAGGTCACCTGAGTTACTCAGGTGACCTAAAAACACCATATTGCATGTACGTATTGTCCAATGTAAACAAGTTCTTTACAAATAGTTGTGTAGTTCATCAAGAACACTGTCTAAAAATTCATTTAAAATACATCACATGTACTTTATTTATAAATTGCTGAAAGCCTCTGACCAATTGGTCTGTTGAGTTTACAAAATAATCCACAGTTTGTTTCAAAATTTCAAATTCTTGAAATTGGAGAATTCATGCTTCGTTATCATCTGTTAGTTCTACTCCTACAAGTAAAGAGCATCATTTCACGTCCCTATGATCCTTATTTATGTGGCGCCAAGTCAAAAGTATCTTGCCGTTAACCTCTATCATGCAGTAGTTAGTTCCAGATTTTTTTATCGTGTATTGTTTCATACTGATACATGTATATTAATGCTTGTAACGCAAGTCGTACCCTAGCAAAAAATATTGATATGTACCTGAATATCGTCCCCATCCCTTGCAATAATGCTCATACATTGTCAATTAATAGTATATATTAACAATATTTTTAAAACATAGATGATATTCAGTTGTTACATGTACTTTCACTAACAGTACACTTAGATGCAAGTTCTAGTCCCTTCTACAATCTAAATTTTCTTTTAAAAATGTGCAAGTTAAAACAGACGTACTGAATTCCAACATATGTTGATTATAATTCATAATTTAAATATACAAGAATCAAATTACTGTTGTGTGAAATCCATTGTGTTCTTGTAAATCTCTCAAATTCATTTTTGGGACAGGTACAATACCAAAAAAAATGAATGCTTGCTTCCATCTGGTCCTTTGTAAGACAAAAAAAATTAAAGAATGAAATTCATATAAATTTAAATAAATTTTAAACTGCAGATAAAGTCTCAATAAAAAATTAAAGAACATGAAAATCATTATTAGTCATAAATTTTTCTACATGCAACTATTACATGTATACTAATTAACAACTGTAGACATACTTTTTTACCATGGGGTTAAAATTCCACGGAATCTCAATTTCTGTTTCATACGCGGGTAAAAAATTATGCAGATTTCTTAGACTGTCACCATATGCCATACATTTATGTTAAGTATGCTAGGACAACTTTTTGTGGAAAGTTTGTTTTCAGCGTATATAGCGAAAATTAATACCATGCGGAAAAAAGTATTCTACAGTACTTCAATGCATCATAACAAAGCAATCAAAAATAAAACTTTAAATGGTAATTCTCAAAATTGTTTACCTCCGACATGTCTGAAACAATATTGCGCTTTGGAATGACGTATAATTTTCCTTTTTTAATGGTCTTTTTCAGCTCCTGGATGGTTTGTGGAGTAGGTATAGACATCAGGTGTCGTCCCTCATTGCTCTTCATTAGGCTATATGAATACCCATTTAATTTTGGGAACTCGAATCGCAATAAGTCCTCAAGTTGATCTCCACTACTTTTCCAATTTATAGATATTAATTTCTCGCCTGCAATTGAAAAATACATTCTATACAATTACATTAGAATATAAAAAGTATCGGGTATTCACACATTAAATGATTCTATCACATTTCTTGTAATCAACAAAAAATAATTTTAATACACAAAATATTATTCAAGAACATGAAAAAATATACTGACCTAATCCCACAGAATTTAAAGACTTCAGTTTTGATTTCTGGGGGACTTTGTAGTACCGCGGATGGTCTAACACTACACAAAGTAAATCAGTCTTTTCTTTAAATTTCCTTCCTCTTTTTTTGTTCCCTTTAATTAAAAGAATTTTTATTTACATTGGAACTATTCATTTACTACAAAACTATGAGCAATGAAATGATATACAATTTTATTCTGCCAGAATTTTAAGCAAATTTAATTATATTGTTAATGTAAATACTCATCAGGTATAACTAGAAATGTTTTACTCCACTAATAAAGTCATGTATGTTAGAGTAATAAGAAGTCTTGATGGCACACATTTAACTTCATATAATGCCTGACTTTTGCATAATCAAATATATCAACTAAGGTATATATATACAATGAGGAAATGACCCAATGGGAGCCAGGTTCAGCTTAATTTTACGCATAGTTAGTGTAGTAGCAGATGGAATCTTTTATCTTTAATTATTCTTTAAATATCTTGGGCTCATTTAAAAGGCTTAAATTTATACCAGATATTCCTTCCATGAAGATGAAGTACTTTAAGTTGTCTGCAAGTGACCATATGATTAATGCTGGAATGTGATTAAGCTATTATATAATTTAACTATTTCCTTCTTGCATACAGCCTATAGAATACACTTTACATACTGAACTTTTCATGTCCCATCTTCCAAGAATGCTTAAAAGTGAATATGATTAACCCCTTATATAAGACTTATCAGTTGTAAAGCGTGTTTTCTATATCAATATCGTCTCGTCGTTTCGTACAAGCCACCATTTCAAAGGACACCTACTTTCATTTTCAAGTTTTTGGTAGGTCGTTCGTATATCGTTTCGTTCCGATATTTTAATGCATGTATCAAAAACCATATCGTAGAAGAAATTATTGGTATCTGTGCCACCCCTAAAAACTTGACATACTTCTTGTTCCATGTGAAGAGGAAGCCCTCCTACGGAAAAGCGCATTCGTGGTTTGTAATAACGAATCCACATTTTGTCTGGGTTGAACTTCCTGCAATAAAAAAAAAAGTTTTAAAAATAGGGATCAACACCAACTTAAAAACCATAGTATGGCTTTTAAAAATTATGTTTGTTTCCTGTAACATTCTTTAAAAAATCAAGGGTTGATAGGTGTGGGATAGGTGTGGAATTTTTACTCAATCACTCAGGTAACTTTTACAGTTGTTATACTGACAAAGCATCCTTAAATGAGTACTGTGATTGACTGGTTACTCAGAAGAGTGATGCAGGTTTTAATCAACAGAACATTGAAGTTAAAAGCCCTCACCTTCATGATCTTATACTATTTTAGTATATGATATCATAATGACACTTCTTAGTTGACTTTCTACAGCTTGAGTATAAATCTATGACATTTTGTCAGTATATATATATATATATATATATATATATATATATATATATATATATATATATATATATATATATATATATATATATATATATATATATATATATATATAATTAATATATATTTGTTTCCTTGGTGTTTTTTTTTTTCGCTTAATTTTTTTTTTTTCGCTTATGAATAAGAGTCAAACATCCTTGGACTGAATTAGCCAGGTTTCATATTTACAGTGGACATCCAACATGGCTGTTTAACAGTAGAAAACAAACTTCAAAAAAGGTTGTTGGGTGAAATTATTGAATACTAATAATATGTCAGTTAAATGTTAACTAAGTTGACAGAATTATTTTATGTCTAAAGTTAAGCTACGTACAATTATTATTATTTTTTTATTAAATAGAATCAGCTAATTGATCATCATCAAACGAAGAATTGGCAGGAAATAAATGAATCCTGAGGGTAATCATTATCTGAATGGGTCAGTAAGGTTACATTAGGAAAGAAAACATTTTTTTAAGGCCTTGTCTGCACAGTGAGCTATCAATTTTTTTTACAAGCCCTGTTAATGAATCAGTTGTCCAGCAGCCAAAAGCTAAGAAACAGTGGGATAAATGCAGGTGGGAAGTTTCCCCCTCTATTTGATGGGGTATTATGTGCCTCTAGAAATTTTTGAAAAAATAAATAATAAAAAAATATTAAATCATGCATTCTGAATGTATTTTGGTCTAAACGTTGAACATAAAACAATAAAAAATTAAAAAAAAAAAAAAGAAAAAGAAAAAAAAAAAGAAGGATTGAAAAATATGTGATTATTTGATTCATTTCAATATAAACAACGTATTCTTTTATTCAATCGGGATCGGGATGCTATCTTTTCTCCCGTTGTTAAAATTGTAAAAATTTCGAAAAGAAAAAAATGAAAAAATAATCTTTACATTGACTTTACACATAGATGTAGATTGATTAAAAGGAAAAAATTAAGCATATCAAGTTTAATTATTATCATCTAATACAGTTATAGCGATATCTGTGGGTCTCTTTTTAGGACTGTCGTCAGTGTCAACAGGTCAACATATTACCCCCAGGCACTTTAAATCTAAAGCCTTGAAATTAAATTCATCTTAATTAATACTGTTCAAATGAGTGTATTTATTATACGTACTTGAGAATTAATCGCCTCTACTGCTGGCAAAACTATACTCTGCAGCTGCTCGGCCATGGCCTTTGGCAACCGGATGAAGATACTGATAAAATTTCGCGCCAGTTGTGACGTAGCGGAAATGACGTACTATACAGGGAGTATTCATTATTGCCACTATTTTAGTAATTGAAGATAGGTTCAATTCAATTGTACCTATCTTTAATTCAATTGTACCTATCTTCAATTCATCGCATTTGTACCTATCTTCAAATCAATTGTACCTATCTTCAAATAAATTAAAGATAGGTATAATTGAATTGTACCTATCTCTAATTCAATTGAAGATGAAGATAGGTACAATTGAATTGAAGATAGGTACAATTATTTGAAGATAGGTACAAATATTTGAATATATGTTAATTTGGTGTTCCATACTTTCAATGGGCCTTATTTCTCTCTTCTCTGCTTTACTAATGGGGACATGTATTTTTCAAAGTAATTTGGTGACATCACTTTTGTTGTATTGACCAGCAGTAAATCCTTGTATGACTGGTTTTGTTGTCTTTGGTATGGATCGAATCTTTGATTTCTTCTCAGACATTAATCTCTGGGGTTTTGTAGAGGACAGACGTCTGTTGAGCTCTTTGACAAGGTCATTCAGGTAAGTGATATAATCATCCAAAGTCTTGTCTTGGGTGTTTAGATCTTCTAACAGTGAATACTCTATCTGGTCTACCTGCTTCATGTTCTCAGATATGACTGTGTCCACCAGACTTTTCAGGGTCTCACCTTCAGTCTTCATGGATGTTCTGATGTTGTGCATGATATGTTTGATTTCTGAGGAATCTTTTTTAATTTCTTTCTGCAAATCTTGTGATGTAGGGAGAAAATATTCATGAGTTTTGGAGATTTCCTGTTGGCAGAGTGTAAAGTTTTCTGCGAAGACTGCTTCAAGATCAACAAATGTATGCTTTTGGTGGTCTCCCTTTGTAGCACATTTAGAACATAATGGAACTTGGCATTCTTCACAGAGCATGTCCACATCTTTAGTGGGGTGGATCTTACATTTCTCCACAGGAAGTTGTCGTTCACGTTGTTGGTAAAGGACCACCTCATGGTTCTTGTTTCCTGAACTTTTTAGGTGTTCATCTCTGCATTGTTTACACAATCTTATGTGACAATAGTTGCAGTAGAACTCGCAGTTTCTTTCACAGTCTTCAATGCCGCATTCTAAAAAGTGCTGGGCTCGACGGGGAATATCAATTTTAGATAATGCCATCTGAAAAATAACAGGAAAACAGGAATGTATGTTTTATGTATATGTTCTAATCCATATTTTTTTCTAGAATTAGGGGAAGACAGATATTATTTGTAAACATGTCAACAATGATATCATTTGCATACAATATTTGCTATTCCAGATGCGGTACATTAATAAATTGATTCTTAAAGTTGATTTAAATTAAATTAAATGTCCTTTATTGTACATGTACTTACAGCCTTTATGATTGACCTACAGATTACTTTGTTGACAGATTTCTCAAAATGAGACTTCAGTTGAGAATTGAACGAGATTTGTAATTTACTTCCTGGATAAACTGGAGATAAATATAACTAGGTTAGAACAGTGTATACACGCTTTCTTATAAACTGTTTCACGGTTAATAAAGTGTTAACTGCCCCAACCCAGGTGTTACCAATATGGCTAAGGTAGCTTTCAATTCATTCCTCAAATAATTTTATCTTGTTATAAGAAGTGAAACAATGCAACTGATAAGAAAATATACATTTAAGCTGAATTACTGCGACGTTGTTGTCAACATTTTTATGACAACAATAAACGGTTTGAGTAAATTTCAACCAAAATTATATTTTTTAAAAAAAGCGACAACGACAAAAAGATATAAAAATAGAACAAAGACTTGAAAATATAAATATGTTCCCATCAATGTCTGTTGTAGTAAATATCAAAATACGAAGTAAATGACGGACCCTTTGATTTAATTTCAATTATGCTCCCATTTTTTATATTTATTTTGTATTTTTCAGCATGATAATTGTTCTTTGTCTTCACATTTTATACATCCCTTTGCGATACAGTTAATTATGACGTAAGATGTCCATTATTGCCTACAGACAGTAAAACATTGCTATAGGAAACCCGTTCGGAGAATGTTCTTTGTGTTTTTCTGAAAAATGCTTGGAATACTGTAGCATAGTGCATGTACTGTGCTAATGAACATATTCTTAGATGTTGAAGCAGGATTACACAAGAAGAAGTGGTAAAATATTCTAAACTCGTACATATACATTCTGCAGTATCGTTGGCGTAGTTTAATTTATTTTGCATAGATATATCGGAGTACCGACAAATAAATGGAAGCAACTACTGCTTAAATGCATTTGTTTTTACCCTTTTCATATCTATTTATAGTAAATATTTTTAATTGATAAAATGTAGTACATGTAGTTACTAGATACTATTCAATTTGTGCAAATTTTAAAATACATTCTGCTACATAAGAATAAAACAAGTCTGCATCTGAAGGAACACAAATAGTGCCTCAAAAATTTGAATATAATATTGGAAGGAACGGTCTTTATCATAATGCTACACGAATAAAGACGTTGTCAAAAGGAACCCTTCAGCATCATTTTCATGTCAACCTTAGAGTACCCGTGAGCAAATCAGAATGACTTTAACAAAGAAAATATGTTATGCTCATTAATGAAATGAAAAGCAATTTGTGGAGTAAAGATAAAACAAGTTCATGCTTCTGTTTATCATAATTTTACATAGGAATATATAGAAAAATTCTTTATAAATCTTCTTCTCAAGATTAGCAAAGCTATGATTTGACATATTTATATGGAAGCATCATCAGGTAGTGAAGATTCTAGTTGGGTCAAAACATGACCACCAGGGGGCGGGGCCAAAATATCCAAACAAAAATTTTCTTCCAAATATATAGGAAAATCCTTTAAAAATCTTCTCAACAATTCCAAAGGCATGAATGATCATATTTTTATGAGAGCATCCTCAGGTAGTGTAGATTCAATTTTGTTCAAACCATGACCCCTGGGGGTAGGGTGGGCCCACATTGTAAGTTCAAAAGTGAAAGGCAATAAATTTAAGCCACAGGTAGTTTTAAAAAATATGTAAGCATACTTACTTAGTGTACATTCAAGTTTGTTAAAATCATACCCTATCACTTTATGTATTGGTTAAACCCTCTTTTGAGTTTAAACTTTTTAATAATAAACTGACTTCTGTTTTTTTCCTGGCCACAGTGCTCACATTTCACTTTCATTAAGGTGAAAACGTTATTTTCTATATACTGCAGCACTTTTATTTGAAGTTGTGAATTTCAACCTAGCTTTATTTATTCTGCCTTAATGAGGTTGGCTCCGGATATTTAAAGTCTTAAACTTTTTTGTTCAAGTATAATTTCAGTTTCTACACAAATATCTTAATTAAAAATCATGCACAGAATTATGTATCTTAGTTTAGTCTACTTTTTGCCAAGTTATATTGAAATCAGACCAAATCTGTAGGAGGAGTAGCATTTTGAAAGAATTTCACAGAAATTTCTATCTTTAGTAACCATGGCAACACCGTTCATCGAAATCAAAAACCGACGCACAGAATTATGTATAGTCTACTTCTGTGTAAAGTTATATTGGAATCAGACCAAAACTGTAGAAGGAGTAGCATTTAGGGAAAATTTCACAGAAATTTCTATTTTTAGTAACCAGGGCAACACCGTTCACTAAAATCAAAAACCAATGCACAGAATCATATATCTTAGTATAGTCTACATGTGTGCCAAGTTATATTGAAATCACACTAAAACTGTAGGAGGAGTAGCATTTTGAAAGCATTTCACAGATATTTCTATTTTTAGTAACCACGGCAACATTGTTCATCGAAATCAAAAACCGATGTACAGAATTATGTATCCTAGTGTAGTCTACACGTGTACAAAGTTATATTGAAATCGGACCAAAACTGTAGATGGAGTAGCATTTTGAAAGAATTTCACAGAAATTTCTATTTTTAGTAACCACGGCAACACCGTTCATTATAATCAAAAACCGATAGACAGAATTATGTATCTAAGTGTATCCTACTTGTGTGCCAAGTTATATCGAAATCGGACCAAAACTGTAGGAGGAGTAGCATTTTGAATAATTGTTTACAGACAGACAGACGGACTGACGATGGACGCATTACTATTGCATAAGCTCTTCTGGCCTGGGGGCTTAAAACTTAGACGAGCTCACTTTTGATCTCAGTCTCACTTTTTCACTATATATTCCTTCGGAAAAAGTGAGAATGAGATCAAAGTGAGCTCGTCTAAGTTTTATGGCCCCCAGGCCTGGTCTCTGACCAATAGTGCTAAAAATGATCCTTGCCACTCATCAAAGCAAAACCGATACAGGGAATTATGTATCTTAGTGTAGTCTACTTGTGTGCCAAGTTATATTGAAATCAGGCTAAAACTGTAGAAGGAGTAGCATTTTGAAAGAATTTCACAGAAATTTCTTTTTTTAGTAACTACGGCAACACCGTTCATCGAAATCAAAAACTGATGCATAAAATTATGTATCTTAGTGTAGTCTACTTGTGTGCCAAGTTACAATGAAGCACATTGAAGTGGTAAAATTTTCCGTTCGAATGGAACGTTTTGAGCTATCTTTAGAACGTTTATTGTCATCTTAAGACACGCCAATTTCTTTAGAAATGGATAAGACGATCAATTTGTTTATTCGAATACCTGTAGAACAGGTTTTCCATGAATATAATAGCCAATCAAATTGACGGTCTAAATAAACACCGAGTAAACACGTGTTCAACCGAAACGTGTGTTGTGGTAACTGAAACAGACATAAGTTCAAAAGTATCTACATAATCGTTGCAATTTGAGTTTTACATAAGCGAGGAGTCTCTTACTCTCTCTTCTAATTCTTTTAAAGCTGCATGTCACTTATATTGAGTCTCGCGAAGAATGGGGTGTCCTAAAACATTACGAAAAATATTTCTTTCTCGTTTCTCGTGTCATTATGTTATAATTGACGTTCCAAACATGACTCAGAACGTTTCATCCAAACGGAAAATTTTACCACTTCAATGCGCTTCATTGTATATTGAAATCAGACCAAAACTGTAAGAGCAGTTGCATTTTGGAAGAATTTCACAGAAATTTCTATTTTTAGTAACCATGGTAATACCCTTCATCGAAATCAAAAACCGATGCATAGAATTATGTATCTAAGTGTAGTCTACTTGTGTGCCAAGTTACATTGAAATCGGACCACAACTGAAGGAGGAGTAGCATTTTGAAAAAATTGTTTACAGACAGAGAGACAGACGGACGGACGACGGACGCATTACTATCGCATAAGCTCTTCTGGTCTCTGACCAGTAGAGCTAAAAACAGGAAAAAGAAAGTATAACAGACTGACAGACAGACAGGGCAACACAATCTGTCCTATGTTTCTTTAGAAAAAATGATTGGAAGGATATGGAGATAACGATCAGTACTCAATATCAAGGTCCATAAAACAATACAAAATAGGAGCAGAGCAAACATGGACCTCCGAAACATCAGAGGTGGGATCAGGTGCCATGGAGGAGTAAGCATCCCCTGCTGATCGGTCACACCCGCCGTATGTTCATTGTAATGATCGGGAAATAACGGAAATTCTGTTGCCAATTCAGTGTATAAATTATGGACTAAAAATTAGTATGAAAAACCTCAGTCAGCAAGCAACTTAATGATAAATTGTATTTGCTAACAAGGTCATTGTATCGACCATAGAACTTACGCAATGATGACTTTAAACAAGACTGCTGATATTCTTGTTTCATCAACTTGCTTGTCAATAATTTACCTCGTTTTAGAAATTGTTCATACGTAGAGCATGTTCTGGTGTATCGAATCAACCGAGATATATATACACTCCGTATGCAGGTGATGAAGGTATATTGCTGCATATATAATGGAAGTTGACGATAAAAAAATTAAAGTCTTCAAGTTTATCAAATAGCTTAGGAGTTAGACTACCATTAACGACTTTTTCAAGTAAAATATTCAAGTATGAAACAGATGTGTCAGACTCAGTAGTATCTTTTATCTAAAGCTCACCAGGACATATCGTATCGACGTAGGAATGGAAATTATTATTGTTAATTGACAATACTTCGTCGGTATATCAAAATGTCGAGTTGAAGGCCACATCAAGTGTTTTCTTCTTTTCACGCATAAGATTTTGCACAATTCTGCTTCATATGAATATAAAAATAGGTCTGCTAATAACGGAGCGCAATTGGTAAGTGCAACAATGAAGATGTCTTACTCTTCCACAATCGCTACTGCTGGCGGGTCATAAATATAGTTCACTTCAAAGTCACCGAGAGTGTTAGTACTTCGTGCACTCAGGATTTTCGTGATAATCATCGTGTCTAGAGTGGTAGCCTTGTCAATAAGAGCCTTCACTACTTCCTCTTCCTGCAATGGCTTCTGAAATTA